TGTGATATTTTTTCTTCGGTCGGAATGGATTAATTGCATTTCAATGCATTCCTATGGGAAATGATGCTTCGACTTACAACCATTTCGAGTTACGTCCATCTTCTGGAACGGATTGTGGTTGTAAATCGAGGCACCACTGTATATCTGTTTGGCCTCATATAAACACAAAGGAAGGGACATGGTGGCACTGTGGGTTAAACCACAAAAGCCTCTGTGCGGCAAGGTCTGACAACCAGCAGCCGTAAGATCAAATCCACGCAACGGAGTGAGCTCCCGTCGCTTCTCCCAACTCCTGCCAACCTAGCAGTTTGAAAGCATGCAAATGTGAGTAGATAAATATGTACCACCATGGTGGGAAAGTAACGGTGTTCTGTGTCTAGTCGCGCTGGCCATGTGACCACGAAAACTGTCTTCGGACAAACACTGGCTCTATGGCTTGGAAACGGGGATGAGCACTGTAGCCTAGATTCGGACATGACCGGACAAATTATCAAGGGGAACCTTTACCTTTACCTAAACACAAAGGAGCTATTATAAAGCACTAGCTGGTCTTGCTGATGACCTTTTCCAGCTTGGTCTCTTTCATTATTTATTAGTGTAACCTTGGTTTTTGTAGAGCCCCTTTGGTGCTTAAGTGCAAAGATTTAATACTTGGATCTTCTTGATAAGTGACGTTTATTACATCTGCAAGAGGAAACTGCACTAGTTTTCAACTCCTAATTCATAGTTTTAATAATACTTTCTATTGATCATAAGCTTTTGTAGAAAACAGAAACACCAAACATTTTAGTATTCTGTATATGTACATTCTCTGCAAGTATCACGTTTATTTTTTTTAACGATTCATGTTTTATATATGTATCTAGAGTTGATGAGAGCCACATTATCTTATTATGTAGTTCTGTTTGGCAACCCAGTTCTATGAAGTAAACATTGGGAAGGAAGACATTTCAAGGCACTTCTAGGTGTCTTAAGAGTTACACTTCGAGCAGTTGGATTAATCAGGTCTTTTTGGAGGAACCAGGCCTCTCAAAGGGAATTAGCTTTCATAGGTTTGGTTACCAGGCAGAAGGAATAGCAGTATGATTCCACAGGAGAAAGGGCCAGGCTGACATATCTTAATAAGGAGAGGGGATGTTTGTACTTTCTCACATGCAAACCAGTGACTGTTTTTGTAACAGCAGACCTATGTACACAATATTTAAGCAGACCTATCAATAACTTACCTCATAGAACCTCATGCTGTTGTCTAGGTGCAGATCATATTTTGCATAATGTTTTTTAGACTTCACATAAGTAAAACTGCCAGATCCTGTGTTATGGAACTCCTGTATATTAGCTAGAATTATTTTTCTAAGGAGAACATGGGCCTTTATATTAGTGGCATTGCAAGTAATCTTTTTAGATCCTCTTCTTTGTTATAATTCATTGGTTGGTTAATTCATTTTAGCCGAAGTGGGATTTGCACCTATTCCAACCAGCAAAACCTGTCTTAAAGCCAAGGTTACTAAACATAAGCTTTTAAAACTTTGATGTAATATCACAATTTCTACACCTATGTAGAAAGGCTGATCTTGTTCACCTGACTCTTCTGGGACTCGGCCATCTTTCCAAAAGAGTACATTGAACAATTCAAAGACTGCTGAAACATAACAGCACTGTCTGAAGAAAGCAGTGTTGATATTGCTGTGAGGTTTGAAGTCAGGCTTCTTTAACTCAATGAAAGGAAGGAGATTAATTTTAAAAGAGCGACTATTGTCACAATGATCAGTTCAGTTTACATCCTTACTATCCATGTGAGTTAGAAGCTTTCTAAGTTGAAGCATTTCCTCTCTTAAATATTTGTTGCATGAAAGTGAATCTCTTTTCAGTATTATCTGACCTTCTCTCAGCTTGTCTGTCAAATGTCTTGATGGTATGAATTGCTTAGCTGTGGTATCATCATCTATTGTCACAGAGTAGATTAATGCCTTTGATCACTTCCTAAAATGTAGTGCTCTTCAATCCACTGGGGACAGAATGGCTCATATACAATATGCAGCTACCCAAGGGGAAAAAACAGCAAATGCCATCTTAAGGTTCTACCATTCCAAAGGGGAGTGATATATTCCAGCAGCCCAAAAACTCTTTCAGGCAAAGGTGGTCAGCCAGATGCTCTATGGCACCTTTATAGGGCTTTCATCTAGCTGCTTTGATCTGATAGAGCAGGTTCAGACTAAATTCCTTAGAGCAATTCTTGAAGTTCCAAGAGGCATACCAAATGCACAAATTCGTTTAGAGACAGGCTCACTAACAATGGTAGCCAAAATTACACTAGCCCCCCTTCAGTACTAGCTTAAAATAAATTAGCAATTACAGGGATTAACCCTACTACTTTTATAGGACAATTTTCAATCGAAATGGTTGAAAGCGGTCCTAAATAAATTCCAAGTTATGGGCTTCTCTCCACAAGCAATACTGAGTATGCAATGGTATGACGTGAAATCAGCCCTTAAACAGAGAATAATGGACATGAAAAGACAGGTAGATCTTAGTAGATGCCCCAATTTTAGAGTGATAGACACGCACAAATATCGTTTGTTCCCCATGGCTTATTTATCACAGCTTGAGACATATAAGTTTAGGAAAGCCTTTACTCTGGCTAGATGTGAGGCCTTTCCCTCAGTGGTGTTGGAAGGCAGATTTAAGAAGATCCCGAGGGAACAGAGACTCTGCCCTTGTGGATCTGGTGAGATAGAATCCATTGAGCATATGATGCTCAGATGTAACAGGCATAACAAGATTCGAGGAAAATATATTACACTTCTCTTAAAAGACATGACAAGCCAATCAGACTCGGACTACTGTAACCAATTGTTAATTGATCAAAATCGGACTACACTACATAATTGGTAGTGAAATTTTGGGTGGCATGCCATAGTAGCCAGAATAGATAGCCAAACTTAGACATTGGTCTTACATTGTTATATTTATAGTTTTATTGCTTTTTGCTTATTTGATTTGGCTTTTTGCAGTATATGTCAGTACTTGAAGCTCTGCATTTAATTTTGTTTAATATATATGGCTTGATGCTGTAACAATGAAGTGTGTGTGTGTGATATAGTCCTCTATGTGTAAGTATTGGTGTCTGTGGGACTGATCTGGAAGGGTGTGAATCCTCTTGTGGATCTCTGTCTCTACATGGATTACTGTGGTCTCTTTATACTCATATGGTTACACTATTAGTTTATTTGTTAAATCAGAATTATAACTCTACAACTGCTTATCTGAGCTTCTTCTGAATATTGATGTATATTGCCTGAAGAGAAATTGCCACCTGTGATCAGTAGTACATGATGGAATTACAAGTAGACGGACGTGGAATATTTCAAACCCACACATTAAAAGCATTATTTATGAATACACTTTAAAAATACATCTACTTGCCAAATGGGGTCACCACTGATGCTCATTATTTAAATGTTGATGCCAAGTACTCGTTAATGATATATGGTTTGAAGGCTATCTCTGCATTGCTTCTAGGCTGAATATAGATCAAATAAATTCTCATAAAATTGATTGAGTAGTCGCTTGAGGGTTAACTCATGTCTTAACTCTTAGGACAAAATTGGCAGATTTTTTCCCAAGGAGAATTTTAATGTTGTCAATTAATGTTTTTCCTTCTTACAAAGGAAATACAATAACTATGATGAATATCACTCGTACTTCAATGCAGTCAGTTGTCACTGTCCAAGAATTTCACATGGTTATAAAATTCAAGGGCTTCTTCATTATTTTAATTTCCTTTGTAAATATTGTTATAGCTGTTGAAATCACCTGGGTTTGGTTATGTAAGGGGTTTAATATTTCTGTGAATACACACATGAAAGGCACAAATGACTATGACCCTGTTGACTCCACAGATCTTTCCTGTGTATCTCAAATAAAAAACTGACAAAATCTATATTTTAAATGTGTTATTAAAATATAATTACCATATCATTTTAGAATATATAATTTTACAGACTGTAACAAAGCAACAGAATGTTCACAATGATCACAAAGACCATAGAATGTCTTTGTTTTAAACTACTCTATATATCTTGGGCTGCAAACCATAGATAGATAGATAGATAGATAGATAGATAGATAGATAGATAGATAGATAGATAGATAGATAGATAGATAGATAGATAGATAGACAGACAGACAGACAGACAGACAGACAGACAGACAGACAGATAATCAGTGAGTAAGCCCCACTGAATTCAGTGAGGTATACTTGTGAAAAATATATATATAAGGTTTCAGTATTTTAAATTTTTTTAAATAGAAAGACAAATTACAATTTGTGAAGTAGAATGCAAACAATTATTATCTGGTTGACTTAAAGCAACACAGAAAGGAACATACGTTTTAGTGAGAATATAGGTCATGAACTATAGGCAGCAGAAAATCTCCTGGGGTTGTGTATGTGTTGTCATTCTGCTATTAAAAGGTTACACTTGTTTTCCAGTGTTGGAACTGAGTCCTTTTTCCTCGCTACCACTTAATTGTACTTTTCTTTTACTGTGCTGTTTCAACCAGACAAAACTAGTGCAATTTAATATTATATAAAAACAGCATGTACGTAATTTTAGTTCTCTGTTAATAAGGCCTGTGTTGCAATGGATTTAGAGGAGTCAATCATTTGCTGGACTGCATTAATTACAGTTCTCAGTGTAACTTTTAAACAAGTACAAAAGTTTCTGAAGTGTTTCCCTTGCATGTTTTCTTTTTCTGAGCTCTCAAATGACGTCTTCAGGCAAGCAACTTGGCATGCTCTAGCGAGAAATTGTACAGGCTACTTCTCTGTCCTGTCCTTAATAGTTCTGTAGCTATTCTCTGCACAAGTTACTAAAATACAAAGTATGAAGTGGTTCTTGGAAAGGCCTGCTCTTAGATCAGGGCTGAGCTACTGTACCTTTCCTTGGTGGGGAAAATTGACCTCATGAGTTTGTTCTCTCTCTTTTTTTCCATAGCCACTACAATTGGACTGCAACCTCTGTGCCATTATTTCAAATTCAGGTCAGATGACAGAGCAAAAAGTTGGAGTTGAAATCGACCAGTCCTCCTGTATATGGAGAATGAACAATGCTCCCACCAAGGGCTATGAAGATGATGTTGGAAAGAGGACAACTGTAAGAGTTGTCTCCCATACCAGTGTCCCTCTACTGCTAAAGAATCCAGAATATTTCTTTAAGGAAACCAACAGCACAATTTATGTAATCTGGGGACCTTTTCGAAACATGAGGAAAGATGGCAATGGCATCGTGTACAACATGCTGAAGAAGACTGTGGACAGCTATCCTGGGGCCAAAGTCTATGTGACTACCGAGAAACGTATGAGTTACTGTGATGAAGTCTTCAAAAAAGAAACAGGAAAAGATAGGTGAGTCCTGCCTTGCAGACTGAAAATTCATACCAAATTTATACTACCAAATTTATTCTACTGTGTTTCCCCGAAAATAAGGCAGGGTCTTATATTAATTTTTGTTCCAAAAAAAAAGACATTAGGGCTTGTTTTCAGGGAATGTTTTATTTTTTTCATATACAACAATCTACATTTATTCAAATACAGTCATGTCATCTTCTTCTGGTTGCTGCACAATGGTGGAGGGTGGGGTTTAATGTAGCTAAGGCTTATTTTTGGGGTGGACTTATATTACAAGCATCCTGAAAAATTATCCCAGGGCTTATTTTCAGGTTAGGTTTTATTTTCGGGGAAACAGGGTAATGAGCAAACCATTTCCATTGTGTTCCTAATCTGTATGTGCCAACTATTAATAAATCTCTCAGACCAACATTTTAAATAGATTATTGTAAGATTTTGGCTGCTATGAGCATCCGATGAGACCTTATCAGTCACCATTTCTGCCCTCCCCTTTACCGTAAGTTGCATCCCATTTGGGTTGGCTTAGATCCAAACACTAGAACATTACTTGAAGCATTCTGAGCACGCTGTGTCGTATTTCAACTCAATTTACTGTGGATTAAGGTGACACATAATACAATGAGGAGTAGGAGTTTATTATGTGGAAGTATTATGTAAGCATCAAGTGATCAGTCCTCTTACTTTGAGAGAAGACTGAAATTGTGAGGGCACAATAATTTAATTATTAATGCTAGGGCAACTGGGCTGACCAGCAACATAGTGTTGATTGTATGGGAGTCGGAATGAAGGAATTTTCAATTGGCTGTTTGTTTAAGAGCTTTGGAAAATTTTCAGGCATTACAGGTTTTCTCTCTCTTTCTCTGTTTTTAATAAACATGCATTTGTTGGCAACCCAAACAGGGCAGAAGATTTTTTTTATTTTTAAATTTGGCTTCTCATCTTTGTTTTTATTATTATTATTATTATTAATTTATTCTTCAGTACTTTAAGAACTTTGACAGGCTTCAAGGTTGGAAAATAGTTTAAACCAAGGTCACTTTTTCTGTTGATCAACAGAACATCTCTGTTGTTGGACTGCAGATATAACAACTATATATTTTCTCATCTTGCATGAAGAAGAGTGTCTTGACATGAAAAGATTAAGACTTCTTTTCAGCAGTACTAAAAACAACGATATTTTGTCTTTGTGGAATATGTGGCTATGAGTGGCTGCTAATTATGATGGATATATATTCCATCAAGTACCAAAGGCTATAGACTTCCATATATCATTTGCCAGAGAGCATGTTTGAGAGGCAGCTGTTGTACTCATATCCTGCTTGTGGGCTTCCCATAGGCAACCAGATAACTGTGGTGTAAACTGAATTAGACTGGCCTTTGGAATGACCCAGCATGTTCTTATTCATTCTTCCGACCTAACTTACAAAAGGAAGAACAGAAAAGCTTGCACTACTGGGTAGATGGCCCGCCTAACTAAAATCATTCCAACACTAAACCATCAGAATACTGAAATAAAGGGTGTAAATTTTTATGCACAATTTTCCTTAGCATGCAACAGCCTCTATAAATCAGCATTACAGCTAATGCAGAAGTACAGCACAGAGTTCAGCCCTGTTATTCTGTATTTTTAAATGACATTCCCAACACTGGATGATAATATCTCCATTTGCAAAACTACTGGAGGGGGGTGAAGGGATGTATGCAGTTTGCGAAAGACCACCTGATGAGTTCATGGCAGAAGCCAGACTTAAAATTCACAATTTCTAGGCCCTAGACCGTTTTGTCCATGCAGCTGTGTTGACTGTGTTGCCATATTCCATATGTTACATTTTCGTTCCCCACTTCACCAAGGGGCCTGAGAATTACCATCAAGGGTATTCTGCATCTGTGCCATTAGCTGAATTCTGAAAGAGTAACAGAGCTCCCTTATGTGACGGAAATGACCACATTTTCCTTGCCAACCCGTTAGATGTCTAGCTGCTCTGTTTCCACTACTCAGTTCCTCTTACTTTTTTGCTTAAGCCACATACTCTTCTAGTTTCTCAGAGGAATAGCAGCTTTCCACTTTTGGTGTATAGAGGGCTGTGATTTTTCTTGAAAACAAGAAGGAAGCCAAATGCCACTCAAATGGTATGGAAACATACAGCTTGAGTTGGAACTGGGTATAATGGGAGGTTTATTTCACAGTATATTAACTGTGCTTGTGTTGTGTTCTGTCAATGTGTCTTAATGGTATGCCAGATTTCTAGCTTGTCAAGCTCTTATGAAGTTTCCTGTGACATTTTGGTCTTGAAAAAATGGAATATTCCCAGCACAAGGGTGTCTATATTCTGTGCTGCCAGTTAATAGACATGTGCTGTAGCCACGTCTGCAGTGGAAAGAATGCAAAAATTTTAAATTCAGTCATTAATATTCAGCTGGTTGCAGAGTCAAAGCCAGCCTCTGTTGTGGCACTAATGATCATCAACCTTTCAGGTTCCCAGACAGATCCGGTATTTATCTTATCCAAACACAAAATATCTTGCAAGAATGGGCTGTAGGAAGCTGGTGATTGTTCTTGACTCTCTAATAGTGGGAACCTGAAGGCAGGTTTGTTCTTTCTGGAGACCTTCATTAGTGAAGTATTTATGTGTTCAAGGCAGTGCGAACTCTCCTTTTTTCTGAATAACTGCTGTGCATAAATAATACACTTTGGCTGGCAGCCGCTCTTTCATACTAATGCCTCCTAGTTTGTACTATCCTGGAGGTACTCTAAAGCTGACAGCTCTTTCCAGTCCTTCATTAACACTTTTCAGAGCTGCATTATATACAGAGAGTCAGATGAAAGGAGAATTTAAACTATATTTGAAGGGATGCCAACCAGCAGCCAAATGTGAAAAGGATTCCCACCCCATTTGCGTGCGTGTATTTATGTGTTTAGCTGAATTCTGATGTGCCTCCGAGTTTTCTTGAAGTTTAAAAACAAAATAGAAAATCTTACACCATTATTTAATTGGTAATGACTGGAGGGGGGAAGTCTCTTTGTAGATTGCATTAAAACAAAACAACAAAAAAGGAGTTCACTCTGGTCTGATAAAAATGCACTGAGAGGAACTCTAAAAAGCATTTAATTAGCTGGCACCAAAGCTGCTCCACCCTCAGGGTTGTGTAAAAATTAATAATGGTTCAGAGCAAAGAGATCAATGCCCCCCATACACCACAGCATTATGTGAAGGTGAGGAGGAGGAAGAGAGTCATTTGAGTTGCAAGGGCTCGGACTGAAAACCATTCGCCCTTTAAAAAACATAGAAGTCACTTGAACACAGAAGCAATGCTAGAAATGAGCACAGTGCTGCTGTCTTCTAGGATGGCCTCCCTAGAGTTAGTTTGCAGATCCCTGTCACTCCCTGCATTAGAGATTGACCACTCATAGTGGCACATGTTGTGCATTGGGTCTTGACCAGTGTGTCTCCATTCAATTATTGTATCAACTTTCCATCCATAGTATTGAATTTCTTTCCAACATGTGATCGTAGCTGCAAACGCTATGCTTGGGATGTTGTATTATGGAAATATTATGTTTAGTAGAGCGTTCTGTTGCTCCTTCATAAACATAATTACTGAAGAATAGTGCATTTGAAGTTGGCAAAATTAAAGAGGAAAAGGAAAAGAAGAAGAAAAAGCCAACATATTGGAGCAATTCAAAAACTAAGAAATTTATTTCAGTCTGAGTTTTCATGGATCAACTCCACTTCTTCAGCCACAAGAAGTGAAAATCCTTATGTAAAGTGCCACAGAATTTCCCCCTCTTTTTCCTTTTTTGTCATATATACCATTTTCTCATTAGTTTTGTTAACATGATAAAACAGACTGGCATAGCTGCTTTTTTGGAAATTGTATTTATAGTCTGAAATCATCTTGCTTAATATTGGTAGGGTACGCTAGAGCAGAGTCATTGAATCCATGGGGATTTGTTGGGTCCACTTTTCCATAAGTTCCGTGGATTCAAATGGGCCTACACTAATTGTGACTTCCTTTAGTGTAGTAAGTTAGGACTACAATAGGTATATTTGAATCAGAGGTACGCTAGAGTAGAGTCATTGAATCCGTGGGGATTTGTTGGATCCACTCTGCCATAGGTTCCATGGATTCAAATGGGCCTACACTAATTGTGGCTTCCTTTAGTGTAGTAAATTAGGACTACAATAGGTATATTTGAATCAGTGGAACATATGTTGAAGTTGACTCACCAGATCATCATAAGAGCATAAGAAGAGCCCTGCTGGATCAGGCCAAAGGGCCATCTAATCCAGCTCCTTGTATCTCATAGTGGCCTCGCCAGATGCCTCTGGAAACACACAAGACAATTAGATAGCTGTCTCCTGATACCTCAGGACTCCTCTGTGAGTCAATGCTACTATTCTAGTGCAACTTACTATGCTAAGCAACAGGATTTCAGCCATAGTGTAGTATACGTATATACAGTAGCAGTTACATATTGTCTTCTACAATTCATGTAGAAGCAATATATTACAGATCGCAAATGACAGTCAGTGCATCTCACAGATGACATTCATATATAGCAGTTATATATTGTTTTCTACAATTCATGTAAAAGCAATATATCACAGATCGCAAACGACAGTCAGTGCATCTCACAGATGACATTCACGTCAAAAATGCAGCCCAACACTAATGTACTAGTATTCTGAACAATGAATCTGTTGTCAGTATGTGAAGTGAATTGCTAGTATCCCATGAAAAGTTGTTATATTCCATTTGAAATTATCTAAGTGTTGTTGAAATTTCATGGTCAGATAACAAGGAAAGGAGTAACAGAAAAGGATAAGACTGAACATTATTACAAATGTGGAAAGAAGAATGCAAGAATAAACAGGTAACAGTGACTGAAATCCATTTGGACCTTGGTCTCCTTATTTAGGTGAAGAGAGAGAACAGCAGTGTCAGTGGGTCACTCATACATGTTATGGAACCCGGGCAAACCCAATGCCTTATGT